TGACTTTCGCTCCCTCCAATTTCTTTCTTTTATCCCCCCCCTTATCCTTACCAGCATCGCGATGTTTGATAGCGGGACAGCTTGTCTGATGGGAAATTGCTGGACAAGAAGCAAAAGAGGCACCAGAAGGCCTCCAGCTATGTGAACAAAGATTGTGGTCGAGAGAGAATTATTTCGCGACCAATTGAAGAAAGGGCAACCATTTGAGACGTACCTTCGAAGCCTCCATCGGCGGCTAGAATCAAGCCGCTTGTCGCCAGTACCAGAGTTACGCTGTCCCGTGTATTTAAGGGCCAAAGATTTTTATGGCTTCGGTTGAAGGAAGCAGTGTCGGGCGCGACATTTGCTTCGCCCGCCTGTAAGGCTGTTTATACGCTAGTGAGAAAAAGAATGTTGAAGGCACTTCTTTTACAACGCGTAAACTTACATCGAGGTTCGTTTTGCGCGGGATGTCCGTCCATGCGACCAACTGGTAGCCAACCCGAGGTAGATATGTCCAACAAAACGAGCCCTGTCCCGACCAGGGCTACTACAGCAGAAATCGATAATATCAAGTGACGCCTTACTCCTCGCTGGCACATTGTCTGTAATTCTGTCGTGTGATGTGTGCACTTGGATAGAAAGTAGTTGTCATTTACGCGGTAGTAAGAGCTTGTTGCCCGTTCTTTCACGGAGCGAAATGGTTGTCAAATATACAGTACGAGACATCTTTTGTATCGAAAGTTATACACAGTATGAATCGGCTTGGGAATTGATACCTTACAAGAAGCGAAACCTATTACTTGTCTGTAGCCTCCTGCAACTGGGAGTGATTGGCGATGACCCGGCCGATCGCTTCTGAAAAGCCAAGGCCCTCGGCACTTAAAATATCAAACACCCCGTTTGTCCTTCTCTCTTCTTCCAAATCGGTGTCCACAGAGCATCAAAGTCCTCGAGAAAAACATGGTCAGCTTGAAGGTCACGTGCAATGTGAACCTTATTTGACCGGAGGCTCAGCCCATGGCTTGGGTGACAGTTTAAATTTGAAATTAAACGGCCAGCTTCCCCACAGCCACGTTCGTTGCCAGGCCTCAAATTGACGCCATGACCCTAGCACACAGTACTGCCGATCTTCTCTTCATGTACTTTTGTCTTCTCGACAGTTCAAGCCTTTAAATTTGCCTCTTGTCATGATAAGTGCGCATTCACTCACTCGATATTTTCAAATCTGCCAGACCATAGAGCGCTAGGAGGAACTCGGATGAAACGCCGTCGGGCATCGACGTTCCTCCTGGCCCTTCCCAGAGCACTTTTCCTGTCATTGCTTTCTCTCCCCTACTCTGCACACGCCGGCTTTTTTCGTCATGACCCTCCGCCTGCACCAGGAGAGTGTACTTATGTCGAAAATATTTACATAGAGGATGCGGTCAATGCTCTGGCCAAATGCGTGGAGGTTAGCCCCGATGGCATCAGGAATGCCTTGCAAAAGCAGACAGACAAAGATGGCGAATATATCCTGGGTGAACTGTACTTAAAAAACCTGAACGAGTGCCTAGAAAAGGTGAAAAAGGACGGGGGCTCCTACAACTTGGACGACAAATGCAACAAGTACGTGGAAGACTTTCAGGCCACCGGGGACAGCAGCAACGGCAAAGAGGCAGGAGGCATTGTGGCGAAGAAGATGATGTACAACACCGATAAATTCTGCTACTGTATGGCAACTATTGACCCTTCGGAGATTTTCTGCTACGGTTTGGGTGTGGTACGTGGGTGGGCTCGAGGAGAACCAAGGGGAAAAAGACCAAAATATCTATCTCCTCCTCATTCCCTTCAACCCCTTACTTCCCTCCCTCGCTATCCTCCTCTTCAATCCTTTAGCTATTAAGAAAACACATAGAAAGATGATGCTT